TGTATGTAGCTAAGCGGGGAAGCAGTGTGCTGTGTGGATCCTGTATGCCCCCTTCAGAGATGGGACATAGTGGGAGGAAGTCAGGTTATGGGAGGAGGGTCCCTGAAGCCAGACAGAGTGGAGCCAAACCAAGGACCACAGGTGACATGACCTCTGGGTGATGGACGGGCTATCACTGGCACAAGGCAAGACAGAGAAATCACCACGGATGAAACCTCTGCTATCCTGGGCCCAAAGAGCCTACTTTTCATAAGCTGCTCACTTTAGGCATTTTCTCACAGTGACAGAAAGTCACACACACAGCAGGGCAACTACAGTCTGTGACAATCCTCTGTGTATTTCAAAGTGATGAGACTTCAAAGTTTAAGTGTCCCCTCCATAGGTATAAATCATAATCTCAGAGGTGATGGAAATGCCGCTTTGATCATTATACATTGTGTACAAGCATCAAATATAATATTGTGTCACATAAAGTACAAATGTTATATAAAATTAAAGAATAAAAATACAGTTATAAAAGAGACATCGCAGAAGCCCTTTGATAATCAAATAAGAAACGATGATCTTTTTATTTTTTTTGCTAGAATACTGAGCTCAATAAATTCTACTATTTTAAAATTCCATTTTATTTATTCATTTTGAGACAGACCTCACCATGTATCCTTGGCTGGCCTGGAACTCACTATGTAGATCAGGCTGGCCTTGACCTCAAAGACACACCTGCCTCTGCCTTTCCAAGTCCTGGGATTAAAGGTCACCAGGCCCAGGGAATTCTAACTTCAATCTTTTGGATTTTTTGTTACGTTTTGACAAAACAAATCTCTGTGTTTCATTTTTTTTATATACTCTTAAGTTAAGCCAGTGTTTCTACATTTAAGAAAATTGAAAAACACCTGTGCTGGGTAGTTATACATCAACCTGACACAAGCTGGAGTCATCTGAGAGGAGGGACCTCACTAGAGAATTGCCTCCATAAGATCTGGCTGAAGGTGGACCTGGAGGGCACCTTCTAAATCTGTGGTTGTGGGAGGGCACGCCCATTGTGGGTGGGGCTAACCCTGAGGAGGCGGTCCTGGGTTCTGTAAGAAAGCAGGCTGAACAAGTCACATGGAGGAGGAAGCCAGTGAAGCACCCCTCCACGGCTTCTGCATCAGCTCCTGCTTTCAGGTTCCTGCCCTGCTTGAGTTCCTGTCATGATTTCTCAGTGACAGGCTGTGACCTGGAAGAGGAAGTGTAACAAATCCTTCCTCCCCACGCTGCCTTGGCCATGGTGTCCATCAGTGTCCATCACGGCTAGAGTCACCCTGAAAAGGGCAGCAATTTTATATGGGGTAAGGAGATGGATTATTTAACTGTTTTTAATTAATGATCCAATTTAAAAATCTCAACACTTTTATTATATTCTGTTTAACAACCAGGAAATAATCGCCTTACATTTTTGAGATCTGAGCCCGATTTCTGGAAGTGTCGGTTAACGAACTAAATTAATAGACCCAGGAAGCACTTGTGTGCTAACTCTGGCAAGGCATGGCCCCCTCGCTGAGGCTTCTGATTACCCACGGACACCCTCTCGCTCAAACTCCAGGGCAACCTGGCAATGGAGAACCAATTCTCCCACCGACCTACCGTTTCTAGTTTCTATTGAGCAGCACCAAACTGCATTCTAGAATTTAGCCAAGCATCAAATGAAGACAGCAGCCTCACCCACCTTGGTTAGGATGAACATCCGGATGAGCACGAAGAGCACACCAGACATGAAGCCGGAAAGAAGCGGTGATATAAACCAGGAAGCCACTGAGTGAGGAGAAAGAATCCAGTGAATGATAAGACCACACACAGGAATATCTAAACACTGCCACAGGAAGCGATACATTGCCCATATGAACACGTATTAGCAGCACTGCCTGCCAGCGTCAGAGCCCAACAAGCCCTCCCTCACGCAGTTCTTGGGCCCAAACACCCACACACGGCTGGTTATGCTGGTCAATTTCTGAGGTTCCCGAGCTCTAGCCTCCCTCTAAGTCAGGGGTTCTCAATCTGTGGGGCGCGACCCCTTGGAATGGCAGATAGTTTGCATATTGGATGTTTACATTACGATTCATAACAGTAGCAAAATTACGGTTGTGAAGCAGCAACGAAACAAGTTTATGGCTGGGGGTCGCCACAACCTGAGAAACTGTATTAACGGTCGCAGCATAGGAAGGCTGAGAACCGCTGTTCTAAGCCTTGTACTTGCTTTTATCAGTACATGTGGAGTCTGTTGTCCCAACGGTTACATATAAGGTGGGTCACGTTCTATTTCCTTTGACCACATCCAGCCTGGTGTTTTCCTTCCTCACATCTGATAACTACAAATCTGGTGTTAGCCTCTGCCGGGTGCTTCTAGTTCTGGCTACACCCAGAAACCACCTGGGAGTTTCCAAACACTGGCTCCGCCCCCAGACTTATGGTGGTGCAGAGTAAGATCGGAGTGTGGATCCTTCTTAATTGCTCCGTCAGGTAGTTCTAATGCGCTAGGGTTGAGGGCAGTTATTTCAGAAGCTTGGGAACATAAGGTGATTTTAATGGGGGCCCGAGACCCCGATTGGCAGGCCAGGGATCATTATGAGCTATATAGCTCCTAAGGATAGGACAGTTCTAGGAAAGAATGAACTCCCTGCAGGACAGCGATGGCACCGTCCACTCGGACTGAGGCTTGAGAGGATTGTCAGGGACTGTCTAGTGTAGATGGACCACTGTGGGGGAGGAACACCACAGTGCTTCCTCCAGGGGGCAGACCTGAGCAGCGTGTGACTCAGGGAAGTCAATAAAAGTGGCTTTACTCTGGGCTTCCCCACAACCTTAAACATTGACTCTTGGATTTAAGGCTTTGCCTCACTTGGGCCTAGCTCTAGTCTTTCTCAGACTCTGCTGATTTCAGTGAAATGCATGTTTCTTCTGCTTGGCAAGGACAAACAAGATACTGATTTCAGGGGGCTGGAGAGATGGATAAAAGTGGTTAAGATCACTGGTTGTTCTTCCAGAGGACCCGGGTTCAGTTCCCAGCACCCGCATGGCAGCTCACAACGGCCTGTAATTCCAGTTCCAGGGAGCCCAACACCCAGGGCAAAAACACCAATGCATATAAAACAAAATAAATTAAAAACTATTGATTTCAAAAGCTAGATGATGCTGTAACATTCTAAAACTGACATGTAACCGTGAACTCGCCCCATTAACAGAAATTGTAAAGAAAATGCATTACCTGCCTATACAATACTGGCCTTCTAACCCTTAATATTGAGGGGAAAGTATTGCAAAAGTAACTTTTAATAAAACTTACTCTAGAGAAGGCAAACTTTACTTGCCAAAGGTAAAAAAAGATGCCAATTACCAATCTTGACAAGCTCCATCCACTGCACTCCTTTGGTACCGATTGCCACAAGGGAGAACCCTATGGTTGAGCCGACTATGCAGTGAGTTCCTGAGATTGGAAGTCTCAGGAAGGATGCAATCAACTGCCAAACAGCTGAACCTATAGATGGAAAGACGAGTTAAAACCCCAGATACTCAATACAATGTCTTAGATGCCTGGCAGGGTGAGGGCATCTATAACATCACGTCCCAGCATGGTAGTTTGAATGCAATTGGTCCCCACAATCTCAGGGACTGGCATTATTAGGAGGTGTGGTCTTGTTGGAGGAAGTGTGTCACTGTGGGGGCGGGCTTTAAGGTCTCATGCCCAGTGTCCGAGTCCACTTCCTGTTGCCTGTGTAAGATGTGGGGCTCTCAGTTACCCTTCCAGCACCATGTCTGCCTGCACACTGCCATGCCCCTACCATGATGATAATGGACTGACCCTCTCAATTGTAAGCAAGGCCCAATGCTTTCCTTTATAAGAGTTGCCATGGTCATGGCGTCTCTTCACAGCAATAGAAACCCTAACTAAGACACCCTGAGTTTAATTTTCTATGGATTGTTTTCTTACAAAACACCAATCTCCTGACGAAAATCACTCAGAGTGATTACCAGCCATCACTGGTGAGTCATTCTGCTGGAAAAGTCTGGTTACAAGGAGCAAGCAACTAAGACATTACACACGAAAAAATTTTTAAAAGGCAGTACATTGGGAGGAAGTTTTGTTCTGTTTTGTAGTCCATAATGAGATAAGCTAAAAACAAACTAACAAGCCATATTAGTCCATTTAAGAGAGTAACATGTTGTATGGCCCTTTGACTTTTGCCACACATGTGAAAAAAAAAAAAACAAAACACTGAGATAGCTAACCTGGAACTGGGTATAACCTGAAGTTGGGCATTGCTCTCAGATCTTGTTTGCAATATTACTGGAAGCTCTGAGTTCTACGTTGTAGGTCACAGAAGCCATTTTCATAAGCAGGTCCTACACGGCAGGGAACACTGGGAGTGTCAGCTGGGAGACATCCCTTTCAGCAGCCGTTGCTAAGAAGGGCAAACAGAATGAACAACAAAGGCTAGGCTGATAAAGTGGACTACACTAACCCCACTGTTAACAGGGAAAATCAGGTTGCCTGGCAGTAGCCATGTCCTTAAGCAGCCCCCTGGCCTTTCCTTCAAAGAGAGCTGAGTGGTGAAGGTTCGCATAAGGCCACATAGGTCCTAGAGTGTGAGGCAAAGTGGACAGCTGCTCCAGCGAAGGCCAGGCATGCTGACCTTTTGAGTGGAGGCTGGGGTGGCGCCATATACATCTCTGAAGTGTGTGTTGAGTGAAGAAAGAATTAGCCATGTGCTACCATAAGGTCAAGTCTCCAGGGTAGCACCCGCCTTTCTCTGGACAGTTCCCTAGGCCCCACCTCTGTGACCTGGATCAGCAGCAACTGGTTTGCCTTACACTTAAGACCCGAGTCAGGATCATGTTTCCTCGCTCAGAACTATAACGTAAAAGTATAAACTTTATGGTTTTGTAATATTCTTATACAGTTAACCTGGTCCTGTCGGAGGACGGTCTGAGCTCACCCTGTCGCACGCAGACTGAATTTTCCTTCCCGAGAGGTGACAGTGAGAGGTGGGATCATGGGAAGACAGGGTGAGGCACAGCTGATGAGGCATGGGGGCATGGGGCAGCCAGTGGACAGGAGCCACCCGACCCCTAGGAATTGCTGAAGGGATACAGAGTCATATGGACATCAAGACGAAAACTGAAGAAAGATACTTGTAAGATAATGACATTCTACAAAGAGGGAAACGGATGGGCTATGGAACAAAGCTATCAAGAGAAACACAGGGAAAATGGGAGACAGGCTCCTTTGAGATAGCACATGGTGTCTGGAAGATTAAATAGAAGGCAAACAAAGGTTCAGGGTCACATGAGGGTGAGGGGTACGCATGAGGAAGGGTAGGGTGCTGAGTGAGAACAGGAAGTGAAGGGTGGGGAGGCCTGACGGTTTCGTGCACTTCTTGAGGTGGCTTGAGAAACGGTTTGTCCTGTCAGCGTGTGGGATCTCCACAAGCGGATGCCCAGATTTGAATTCTCAGGTTTTTGGAAGCATTGCTGACTTTATATGAAGTGGGTTGATTGTCTACAGGGCTAAGCAAGGGGCCTCAAAAGAGCTTGTTCGAGAAGTTTAGGTGACATTGACAGGATCTTCTACTCAACCCACTTACCTCTGACACCAGGCTTTTAGGCAGCACAGAGGCCCTAGGCCTGGGGACCAGTCAGAACAGAACAGGGTGCCGTGGATTGAGGAGAATGAAGACAGAGCAGGAGAGGAAGAAGGGAAAAGCTGAGGAGGAGCGCAGACAATGAGGATTTGGGGTTCTCAGCAGACTTGGTCAGTAACAGAAACCTTGTCGTGGTTTTTGTTTGGTTGGGTTTTTTTTTTTTTGTTTTTTGTTTATTTGTTTGTTTGTTTGTTTTCAAGACAGGGTTTCTCTGTGTTGCTTTGGTGCCTGTCCTGGAACTAGCTCTTGTAGACCAGGCTGGCCTCGAGCTCACAGAGATCCACCTGTCTCTGCCTCCCAAGTGCTGGGATTAAAGGCATGTGCTACCTTCGCAGGGCGACCTTGTCGTGTTAACGTTCGTTCGGGACGGCTCCGGCTCGCGAGGAATTCAGTCTTTAAAATCAGGTCATACAAATTCCCAACCCAAGGAGCTCTCCAGTTCATCTAACCACAAACCAGAAAGGAAACAGCAGAAGCAACCACCACCCCTGAACAAACCCAGAGAAGAGAGAAACCAAAACAATCGTGTTATTCAGACAAACCCTCAAATTGCCTTGGTAAACCCAAATTCTAGTTGAGGTTAAAAAAAAAAAATCCTTTACTCTTTGAATAAGGAGCCAAAGGCAGCGCGCGGGTGGGAAAAGTAGAAAGTGGACAAGTCGCGCTGCTTACGAAACCAGGAGCGGGGACAGACTGCTCAGCTCCTCCAAGGCCGCCATAGGGAGTTCTCAGTGCGCAGGCGCACATGGCATCGCCTAGGCGCTGAGACTCACCCGGAGAAGGTTCTGTGGGAGGGGGGCTCTACCTAGGACTGAACCTGTCAGTGTTTCTCTATTCCTCCCACAGTTTCAATAGCCCTTTCTCACGACACCTTAATGCAGTGGTTCTCAACCCTCCAAACACTGCGACCCTTTAATACAATTCCTCATGTTGTGGTGAGCCCCCCAACCATAAAATTATTTTCACTGTTACCTCATAACTAATTTTTGCTACAGTTATAAAATCATGATGCAAATATCTGGTTTTTTTTTTTTTTAATAGTCTTAGGCAATCCACATATGACCTTCAGAGGGTCGCGACCCACAGGTTGAGAAACACTGCCTTAATGTCCTAAAAAAAATGTCAATTTTACTAATGGCTATTAGGAAACTACAGGTTAAATTGTAATTTGAAACAACAAAAGTTAAATTAATCAATCTTTTTCTTTTCTTGGTACCGGAGATGGCCAGGGCCTTGAGTATGCTAAGGGCAGATCCTGCCGTAGCATACTGTCTCCAAGAATACTACCATAGTACTGAGGGTTGTTCTCCGTGCCTCATGCATGCTGGGCAAGCAGTCTTAGCCCAGAAGCACACTCAAACTCATAAATATTTTTTTATAGCTACATTTTTGAAACATTCCATCATACACAATGAAAAAAATCATAAAAATATAAATCAACTTTCAAGGTTGGTTACAGATAAAATTTAAAACATACTCACTGATTTTATATGTATATATGTATATAAATATATGTTCTTTAGAAAGTTTAAGATATCCCTAGGACAACAAAGCAATATTCTACACGTGGTATCCTGAGGCTCAAGTGTATTTTCAAATGGCTAAAAGTTTGAGAACATGGATGCTTGCTTGTTAAAATCATAAAGCACAAGCAATGAAAATTGTATCATAAACACAAACCATTAAACCAGCTTCACCACAGTTAAAACATAGACCCCTCTCTCTCATGGGAATGTCAGTGGGACAGAGGGAGCCGAGGGCAGAGCTACTCACCAACCATTGCACTCACTTCCCCAGCCATGAGGGTCTCCACGGTGTCATTGTAGAGGTTCACGTCGATGATGCCCTTCCGGATAGTCTCCCCTACTTTCGCTCCCAGGAGCACAGAGCCAGTGGTTTCAAATATCGAAGCCAGAATGCATGCCTGTCTCAGGGTTACCACGCCAGAGCCCACTGCGGTTCCGAAGGAGTTGGCAACGTCATTGGCACCAACTGAAAAGGCCAGGATGAAAGCAATAATAAAACCCAAAATGACCATCCACAGATACCCATCCATGGCCATTTTGGAGAATGGGCTCTGGGGGACTTTTCTTGTGCAGAAATATTTTAAATAAACAAAGTCTGAGGTTGCTAACTTAGGGAGGCCAAGAGTTCTTGCAAACAGCGAGTCTGGTCTGGAAAGTGCTGGACAATGCTGAAGTCTGAAGAAACTGTTAGCTGCTGGTTTTGGAACTACAGTCAGTACAGTTCATTAGGTTGTGTTCAGTCAGTGGTACAGCACATTCCATATTTTTTCTCCCAGCCTGGGAAAGCTGTGATCTTTCTTCCTATAGAAGGAGAACAAAGAAATCAATCACTATTGAGTACCTGTAACAGTTAATTCTTTCAGAAGTGTTTAAAGCCTGCTAATGGGATCTGTCTTTAGCATGTGACAGACCTGACCACAAAGCAATTCAAGGAAGATTATAATTAGTCTTCCCTCCAAACCAACCAGAAATAAAAGATAAAATACAAAGCTGGCTTCTAGATTGTTTAATACCCACAGATCGACAGGATGCCATTTTAGATGAAGTGTTGTATGCACTTTGAAAAATATATCTGGTCACTGTTTTCAGAGAACAGTTTTCAGAGAACAATTTCCTCAAATGAGTAACAGATAAAGAATACATCAAAGTTATATCATTTTCTAAAATGTCTGGAATGTGCCTGGCTCCTTGGAACACAGGTTGTATAATCTCACTGAGTGGCAGTACAGAGAGAAGCCCATTTACATTCATGTGTGGGAAAGATGTGTCTTCAAACTCCGGAACAAGTTACTCCACCTGGGGGTGACCAAGGAAAAACTACTGAGCCTCGGAGGAGGGGCACAGAAAATAGAGGATGCAGCAGCCAGGGGCAAGCTGGTCACTAGCCACTGTCTCTCATCTTTCTCAGGGAGGACCAGAGACCTCACTGGGCTAGCAAGGTCACCACCCACCCCAGACCACTGTGGTCCCAGTCACCCCTCACCCCAGCTCTTCACTGCTTGAACTCACAAAGCTCAGTCTAATAACCCCAGGGCTTTGGTCTCTGTGGCGGTTTGCATGAGAATGGCCCCTATGTGTTCACATCTGAGTACTTGGTCTCTTGTTGGTGGAACTGTTTGGGAAGGACAAGAAAGCATGGCCTTGTTGGAGGAAGTGTGCCACTAGGGTGGCCTTTAAGGTTTCGAAAGACTGGCACAATTCCAGGCTTGTTTTGCTGTCTTCTATTTTTGGACCAAGCTGTGAATTCTCTGTTATCGGAGACTTCCTGCTGCCATGTCTTTGTGCCACCACCATGGACTCTAACTCTCTAATAAGCAGAATTAAAAGCAATCACGTTGTTTTTCACAGCAAACTGGAACATAACTAACGCAGTGCCTGATGACTCCACCCCATCCCACCAGGAAACCCTCCCTCCGAAAGCCCCACGGCTCCCCCCTACTCCATTTAGGAATCTGCTCCATTGTGACACTCAGGACGCTGTCCTGATCCTGCAGAAGAGCACCCCTTCCTCTACCACCTCACTCATCCCTCTTGCTCCTAAAAATCCAATTTATCACCCCATTCATTCATTCACTCACTCATTCATTCCCCCCTTCATTGTTCATTCATCCTTTAGGAGGTGTGGCCCGTACTCTCCCACTAGAAGACAGAGACCTTCATGCATTGCAGCAACTCCAGGATGTAGAAAATAATCAGGCTACTGAACGAACAGAGAAAACAGCGAGGAAGGGGAGAGACGAGCTTTGCTCTGCCCTCCTGGGAAAGGAGACACTACAAGGAACACACTTGGGAGCTGGGAGCGTTGTTCTGTTAAAATACTGTCAAGGAACCAGATTTGCTTTTGTGCTGTGTGGTGAGAGGCACAAACAGTGGAGCCAAATAGTGTGTTCTTTCCTAAGTGCTTACTGCATTGAGCAGAATGAAGAAAGCTCATCTCACATGCGGCATGTGCTTTGGTCAATCAATAGTTAGGCATGGGTGGGAGAAAAGAGAATACAAATTTCTTTGTATACAGTTTGATTATGGCAGTATAAAAAGTTAACATAAAAAGACCAAAAAGAGGCCTGAGAATGTAGCTCATTGGTAGCATTCTTGCTTAGAACAAATGAGAGCAGGGTTAACTCCCTAGCACTGAGGCAGGGGGAGGTTAAAAGGTAACACACACTAACTGGTATTATCAGTATAATCTATGAACTTTCCTTTCCAAAATGTATTTTGTGGTTGCACGCTTCTCAAATAAAAAAATAACTTACAATAAATAAGCCTACAAACATATTGAGCAGTATATATAAAATGCAATAGTTATAAAATTAAGCAAAATACATACTGACACATGCTACATAGTTTAAGATGGTTATTCCATGTGGGTTCTATGTGAGACAAATGGAAGGCTGCTTTCAAGGCAGAAGATAACACTCTACTGAAGGAGAGCTTATGAATATGGTTAGTATTAATATGTAGATGAAAATCAAAATAGATTGGGGGGGCACTGGATTTATGGCTCGTGGTTAAGGGCACTTGTTGCTCTACCAGAGGACGTGAGTTCTGTTCCTAGCACCTACACTAGGTGGCTGTGAGCCACCTGCAACTCTAGCTTCAGGCTGTCTAATGCCCTCTTCTGACTTCGGTGGGAACCTGCAATACAAACACACACACACACACACACACACACACACACACACACACACAACTGGGACTACTACTCTTTCTCTTAAAATACTTTAAAAAAAAAACCAAAACAAAATCTTGCTTTCTACCTTGGGTAGGCTATAAACCAGAGTAGTCACCCAGTGAGTCTTTGCAGGGTATCTCCTTCCTTAGCAACGCAGAAGGAGAGAAATGTGTGGCTACTGCACAGCTGGGGTTGTCAGCACAGTGGAGGAAACAGACTCCAATAAAAAACGACAGAAGAACTGATTCCGCCGGCTGCTGACTAGTACCGCACGAGAGAATGGAGTCTGTCCTCGTCTGAGGGCAGGGAAAGGCTTATGCGATCCCGGCAGGGAAAATGACCTCTGCGACCGTGGGAGGCATTTATTCCAGTCAATCCTCACGGTGGGAAGGACAGCAGGTTGGGGGCAGGCAAGGATGAGGGAAAACACGATGACACCTGAGCTGGGCCACTTTAAAGACTAGCCACCACGTGAAGTGTCAGGGAAGGGTTTGAATCAAAAGGCACTGGTATGATCAGAACGGGGGGTGTGTGTGTACATATATATACACACATATACACATATATGTTTACATATTTATTTATTTGTGATGCATAAGTGCACATGCCAGGGAAGGTTAGGAGGGGGTCAGAGGACAACCAGTCGGAGTCTCTACTTTGTGGATCCCAGGGATCACACATAGGTCACCAGGCTTGGGGACAAGTAACTTTACTTGCTGCTGAGTCATCTTGCCAGTCCAAACACAGGACTTTTTAAAAGACCATCCTGGCCGTGGTGGGGAGGACAACCTGCTCGGGAGACAAGTATCAATGTGGGCAGAAAACTCTATGCTACTGTGTGCTGAAGCCGACAGTAAGGATGCTGGATTAGAACACGGGCAGATAAAGGGAAAGAGGCAGCTTCATTCACAGTCGTGGGCTAAGAGGGGCTGGAATGAAAAACAACCAGGTGGCTTTCTCTTCTTCCTTGTTGGGTTGTTCCTCTCCAGTGACAGTAGGGGTTGGTGACAGGCTTTCTTGGATATGCTGCACACAGAAATAAATCACCAGAACACTGGAGACAATAGCTGTGGACATGCCAAATGGCTGTCCTTTGCTTTGTTTGGGTGAGAAATTAGTCATTTTTTATGTTACCTTTGACACCAATTTCAGCCCAGAGATTCCCTTTTCTACTGAGGTTTCTTATGCCCACCACTGTCAAGACTTTACCATGACTTCACCTTCGTGTTCATGCCCTAACCATTGTACTCATGGCTGGTAAGTGGGCTGAGGAGAAGGAATCGCCACTCTTTTGTAATCTAAACAATCTCTTTCATTTTCAAAGTACTTTGTATTTATAAGGACAAACAAAACACTTTGGATTTTCCCCTTTCCCATTATTTATTTTTATTAAGTGCAGGTGAAACAAAACGAAATGTAAAAATAAACACACAACGGACTGGAAAGATTGCTCAGTGGTTAAGAGTCTACATTGCATTTGCAGAGTACACAGTAGGGTTCCCTGCACACTTGTCAGGAGGCTCAAGACTGACTGCCTGTAGCACCAGCCCTGGAGGATCCCACGCCCTCTTCTGGACCCCTCAGGTACTACACTCAAGCACACAAACCTACATGCAGATATATACACACATAATTAAAAACAAACCTTAAAAGAAATAACCCCACAGTCGGGAGCACAGGAGATGGTAAGGCTTCTTTAACTGAGACCCTGAAAAGCCAGATGATGTCATGCAGACAGCCACATAATAACTTTCTAAGAATTACAGATGTCCAAGTCAGAGCAGTAGAGATCTGATGAGGTATTACATAAGAGGGAATTGATGGCATGAAAGCAGAATTTTGAAGATCAGTAAACACCGACTTATCCAATAAATGATGCGGAGAGAACTCAGCACTGGCTATCTGGAAGGGGGAAAAGCTAGACTCAGGGGCTGGATGGCGGCTCAGCAACCGAGAGCACTGTTTGCTCTCCCGGAAAACTCAGGTTCAACCCTTAACATCCACATTTGCCTCACAATTGTAACTCCAGGCCCGAGGACCTGATGCCTTTTTTGGCCTTCGAGGGTACTGCATAAATGTCATACACACAGAATAAATCCTTTAAAAAGAAGAGCTATATTCCTTAGCTGACATCAAAACAAATGAGTTTTAAAAGTAAAAACTGAACTCTAAAGAGACTAAGAAAAGATACAACTAGATATTTATTTAATATTGGAACGGGGAGGCTTAGATATGAAGTAAAGGTAATTTATAAAAAAGAACAGACAGTGGAGTTTATAAAAAGAAGATGGAGAAAGTGATATCTTTTTAAAAATGATTTTTTTATATGTATGAGTGTTTTGCCTGCATGTATGTAAGTGAAGACAAACATTCTCAGGCTGTTTTTGGACAGACTCACGGCTATTTTAAACCAGGAATGTGAAGGAATTGTGGCCCCAAGCACATTTATGGAAGACGAAGTTTGGGTAAGAAGGTCCCTGCCATGGAATACTACAAGAGGTTTTACACACACACACACACACACACACACACACACACACACACACACACAATTTTATTTTTAAGACAGGATCTCAACTATATAGCCCTGGATGACCTGGAATTCACTATGTAGACCAGACTGGTCTTG